AGTATGTATCATTGCTATTTATGCAGATTTGCCATCTCATAGGCTATTCATTTATCACGGGGCTTGTTTTACAGGTCAAAATTTCCAGAACGAAAACCTTGGAAACAAAAACGTACTGTGTTTTCTTTTGCGACACCACCAATGCAAAAAAAAACAAAGATGGAAAACCATATGGATTACGGTTTTCGAAAAACAAATGCATGAGAAAATAGCTGTATAAATTTGAAATTGATATTTCTAACCAAAGAGGAGATATTTGAGATCAAAGTGGTCAGTACAACAAAATGACAATTTCATATGCAAACATCTAAAGATGTTTAATTAATAATATATAATAATTATCTCAGGACAATTTACACAACGCCATCTGGACCCAAATTAAGCTAGCTGAAGCTTGTGCTATGGGTACTATATAACTGATAAAAATACATAGATTTTTTTCGTAAATACATACATAATATACAAAGAAAACACCCAGACCGATACAAACAATCATACTCATGAATACAAATGTTTGTGCCGTGCAAGGAATCGAACCCGCGACCATCGGATGTAAAGCGGTGTGCTAGACTGCTAGACCACCGAGGTCGTCAATGTTTAATTAGTTATTGGATAAAATGAATAAATTTAACACAGCACCTACTCGTTGTAGTCTGAAAACATAATACTGTTTGCTTGCACCTGTTTATGTTAAGTTTTATGTAGTCTTAAGTTTTCTAAAGGTAAAACTATGCACGACAAAAATCTGCAGATTCTGCCAAACTGAAGAGGAAACGCCACTACACATCCTATGTGGTTGTAGCCCATTCACGCATAAACGAAATATCTCCTTTGGAAAGTTTACACTCTTTCCTGGGGAGATAAAAACCATCGCTCCTAAGAATATCCTTCAATTCTTGTCCCTGACGGGTCTAGGTAGCGAACTTTGAAAAAGTGCGAGCACAATAGATCTATGTAGGTCGCAGTGCTACAGGTGCAGGTATCTGACAATAGCTCAAAGTACCCAATAAAAAAAATAGGTAAAATTGATAAATTATACTAATAGAAACTTGATTAAAACTTAAAATATAACTGATTAATGTTTGAAATGAGTAAGCGGACTGATTTTAAATATAATGTGAAATGTAAAACAAAATGTTAATGTTGCGAAATAATTTACGATGCTCGCTCGTACAGTTACCAATTATTTAATCATTTTTAGAAATAAAAAAAACGAAATTGTAACATATTTTATGCCGGCAAGAATCGAAGTCACTACCTTAGAGGTCTAAAACGAAATAACCACTGAGTCACGACGTACATTGTAACATATTTTTTATGCCGCGCAAGAATCGAAGTCACTGCCCTAGAGGGTCTCGTTCTCAAAGACTTGCACTTACATGTAAACAATCATAGCGTGACACATTTACGCTTCACATGTTACAGCAAGACAGCAAGCAAGCAAGCAAGTGTATTCACAAAGCAAACGGGATGTACAAAGTCGCAAGTCTTTAAAGTTTTAAACGACAGAACTACAACTCTGCAAAGAACTAGTTCGCGACCTAATTTTAGTGGGGACAAACAGTTTGAAAACGGCATAGTGCCATTCGTGAATAGCTGCATACTTTTTACAGTCCGTTGAATCGCGCAGCTGTAACGACTTCGATAGCACAGATGGTTTTTGTTGAGAAACACTTTTGATATTAATATATTTAAAGTTTATTTTTGTATTCTATAATCAAAACTGTAAAAACAAAATTATATAATAATAATAATAATCTCAGGACAATTCACACAGCGCCATCTTAAGTTAAGCTAAAGCTTGTGTTATGGGTACTAGATATCTGATACAAGTACATAGATATTTTTTTTTTAAATACATACATATTATACATAGAAAACACCCAGACCGATACAAACAATCATACTCATGAATACAAATGTTTGTGCCGTGCGAGGAATCGAACCCGCGACCATCGTAAATAGCGGTGTGCTAAACCTATGCGGTTTAGTCGAATATTAATATGGATTTTCAAATTATAATTATAAGTCCATCATTATAAATATGTACAACATTTATATAGTTTCATATGCTACTCGCCTCGTACATATATATAAACCTTCCTCTTGAATCACTCTATCTATTAAAAAAAAACAGTTTCAAAATCCGTTGCATAGTTTTAAATGCTACGTTTACATTCAGCCGCTTCCCCTGCCACTCGCGCTGCCGGAAATATTGCCGGGCGACAACTGAGCGAGAGGGCTGAATGTAAAAACACGCTGCCACTCGCGCTGCCAGTCCTTTGACTCGCGCACGAAAAACCGACAATCGAGGAAGCGTCTGGCAGCGCCAATGGCATGGGAAGTGTTTCCACTCCTGTTTACACTCTCGCGCTGCTCACTTCCCTGCCCACACGGGCTGAGTGTAAAATGGGCAAAAAATTTAAGCATACATAGGGACGGACAGACAGCGACAGCGACTTTATTTTATACTATGTAATGAAGAATACGCGCTGAGTTTCTTGTCAATTCTTCTCATCTTGAAATCATTCCGAACTGACGGTAGATTTGACATATCATAAGTCTGTAATAGACCTACATGAATGAAGATATTTTGAATGTGTCAATTAACAGTGCAATCTGTTTAAAAATTGTATATATATTCTGAACAGTAGTTTTATTCTGGTGCGGCACTGTGCAGAATCTATGTATGTGAGAGGTGACCCTTAAAAGGTGGCAGATTAGAGATTAAAACCACAGTGTAAAAATAGTAAAGTGCCTCAACGCCAACAGACAAAAAGGCACTTTTCTAAAATATGCTAACTACCTACTCGCCTCAGCTTGGTACGGGTGTACATGTATTATATATAAACCTTCCGTTTGCGTAGTTTTAAAGATTTCAGCATACATAGGGACGGACAGACAGCGATAGCGACTTTGTTTTATACTATATATGAAGAGCTCGAAATTGAATACATATGTAATTGTTTAGCAATAAGTAAAGTATAGTAATCATAAAGAGCCAACAGAATATCAGCGCTGCAGAGTTATCTGTAGCATTATGCTGAGTTGGCTGCCTTTTCACTTTTGAAGCACATAAAGTCACCTACATTTCTTTTATTAATTCGTGGTTTTTCTATCATTCGTCTCATTGTTATGATAATCGATAGACTAGCTATACGATGACCGTCACTAGTAAAAGGATGTGGACACAACACTAGTCATGTCACACATGCACTGTAGATTCATATTTGTACGAGACATAAAAACTTCTTTGTATTAATTTTAAATTTCGAACGCGCTTCGCATTCATTTGTTTTAAGAATAAAAAATATTGTTAGAGATGTGAAAATTCCATCATGGCATTTCATTTATCTCCACAAATTTTCAACTATGATTTATACTATATTTGGAATGTAATTTGTATCGTATCAAACATATAAGTATATTATGTGACCAAACCAATACACTCGTGTATATTATGTGTCCGTAATTGGTGAATAAAGAATGTATCTATCTATGAATTTCTGTTTAAAAATTGTATATACATTCTGAACAGTAGTTTTATTCTGGTGCGGCACTGTGCAGAATCTATTTATGTGAGAGGTGACCCTTAAGAGGTGGCAGGTTAGAGATTAAAACCACAGTGTAAAAATAGTAAAGCTTTTGAGTTGCGTTTTGTTTCTACTTGCTATACGCACAATTTCAATAGTATCTGAAAACCTCGGTGTTGCGTTTTGTTTCTACTTGCTATACGCACAATTTCAATAGTATCTGAAAACCTCGGTGTTGCGTTTTGTTGCTTCTTGTTATACGCGAAATTTCAATAGTATTTGAAAACCTCGGTGTTGCGTTTTGTTTCTACTTGCTATACGCGAAATTTCAATAGTATCTGAAAACCTCGGTGTTGCGTTTTGTTTCTACTTGCTATACGCGAAATTTCAATAGTATCTGAAAACCTCGGTGTTGCGTTTTGTTTCTACTTGCTATACGCAAAATTTCAATAGTATCTGAAAACCTCGGTGTTGCGTTTTGTTTCTACTTGCTATACGCAAAATTTCAATAGTATCTGAAAACCTCGGTGTTGCGTTTTGTTTCTACTTGCTATACGCAAAATTTCAATAGCATCTGAAAACCTCGGTGTTGCGTTTTGTTTCTACTTGCTATACGCAAAATTTCAATAGTATCTGAAAACCTCGGTGTTGCGTATTGTTGCTGCTTGCTATACGCGAAATTTCAATAGAATTTGATAACCAGAGGAACCACCACTACAGTATTTATTTTATCTGTGGCAAGTCATGAGAGTTGAGCGATAACGGGGTCAGGGAGGCGGCACCGGGACACACGTCACTGTCGAGTGCGGCCGCTGGGGGTCGCGCCGGCTGTGCCCCCTCCCCTCCCCCAACCCCCCAACGGGGCAACCAGACAGTACAGTGGTCGAAATAATTATTATATTGCTACGACCATAATTAATTTAAATTATAACCTTATAAACACATTGAAAAATTTTAATTCTCACGTATGGACCGGAATTTTTTTATTGTTACCGGCTGTACCCGCGACTTAACTGTTAAATTCCACGCGGACGAAGTCGCAGGAACGGCTAGTATATACAACTAAAATCACGGCCTGTAATCGATAGATTTTCAAAAATGATACTTAACTATTTAATTGATAACTGTTTTTAGTTGTATTTTTGTACGTTCAGTACTATTTAGTTCAGTAATTCAGTATATATATATAAGTCTAAAATAAAAGTTACCTAAGTTATATCTTATTAGATCACCTACCTGCCAAAAAAAGTCCCGTCAAAATCGGTCCAGTCATTTCAGAAATTAGCCGGTACAAACAGACCGATAGACAGACAGAAAAACATTGTAAACAATGTTATTTTGGTGTATGTACCGTATTTATATTCATATGCATGTAGTAAAAAACGGTTATTTCAATATTACAAACAGACACACCACTTTTATTTATATGTATAGATGTAAAATATATTCGTTGAGTGTGTACAATACCTTCATGAGGTGCAGGTGAGTGGTGACAGTATCGACGCGCGTCGCGTGCTCCTCACCGCCCACCGGGAATGAACCCAGATACTGCAACAAACAATAGTTACATAAGTTGATAGAATCAGAATACAATGAAAAAAATATCTAAATAAACTCAAAGTTGACTGACATAGTGATCTATCAACGCACAGCCCAAATCACTGGACGGATCGGGCTGAAATTTGGCATGCAGGTAGATGTTATGACGTAGGCATCCGTTAAGAAAGGATTTTGATTAATTCTACCCCCAAGGGGATAAAATAGGGGATAAAAGTTTATATGAAACTTTGTCAGTTTTAAACCGGTCGGGCTGAGACTTTGCATGCATAAAGCTACTATGACGTAGGCATCCCCTATGAAAGGATTTTGATAAATTTCACACTTAAGGGGATAAATTTACGCGAGCGAAGCCGCGGGCAAAAGCTAGTACAATATAAAATTGTTTATTCAAATAAACTGAAATTTAAACATATTAGAATAGAAGTGCTATTTTTTTTTTAATCTACAGTTCATTCCGAAAGTTGTCTCATCACAAGAAGAACGAGCAAGAAACTTGCGTGTTGCTGTTTTAAAAAAAAATATTTTAACTTTACATTTTTAATTTGAAATGTATGAATACAAACTACCAAATAGCATTAATTTGGAGTCAATATACTAAATACAACACGTAAGTTTCTCGCTCGTTCTTCTTGTGATGAGACAGCTTTCCGAATGAGCGGTAGATTAAAAATGTGATGACTATTCAAAAGTGTTTAAATTAAGTTTATTTGAATAAATGATTTTCTATTCTATTCTATTCTACAAAATCAACCGGTTAAGTAAATAAATAAGATTAAATCTGTCGTAGTTGTCGAGCTAAAAATAACTGCCAAGAAACTCAGCTCCAGCGGTCGCGGGTTTGACTCCTAACATAGTACAGACATTGTGTTAATAAGTATGACTTGACGACCTCGGTGGTTTAGCGGTCAAGCACACCGCTTTACGACCGATGGTCGCGGGTTCGATTCCTCGCACGGCACAAACATTTGTATACATGAGTATGATTGTTTGTATCGGTCTGGGTGTTTTCTATGTACCTATAATATGTATGTATTTACAAAAAAAAAATCTTTGTATCAGTTATCTAGTACCCATAACACAAGCTCTAGCTAGCTTAACTTGGGTCTAGATGGCTCTGTGTGAATTGTCCTGAGATTATTATATTATATATTATTATGACTATTTCTATTGATCTGGGTGTTTAATATATATACTATCTATACATATAAATAAAATTGGAGTGTCTGTTTGTAATGAAATAACCGTCTTTTACGACATGCATATGAATATAAATACGGTACATACAACAAAATTTTTTTTTTATAAATTTTGTCTGTCTGTCTATTTGTTCCGGCTAATCTCTGAAATGGCTGGACCAATTTTGACGGAACTTTTATTGGCAGGTAGCTGTTGTAACAAGGAGTAACTTTAAAGGCTACTTTTCTACTACAATCATACTCGTGAATACAAATGTTCATGTCGTGCGAGGAATCGAACCCGCGACCATCGGACGTAAAGCGGTGTGCTAACCGCTAGACCACCGCGGTCGTCAAATAAATAATAAATGGGTTGAAGATGAAATAAAATATGCTATATCCGGTGGATTTTCTCTAGAGAAATAAAGGCGGATGTCCCCGAACGTGGCGGGACGCGGTGCGCACATAAAACTGGTATTCATAATGAAATTGGCTTTTTGTTTTTGTAATTGGAAAATGTAATACAACTGATGAATAGAGCATGGCATATTTTAAATTCAAATTCAAAATATCTTCATTCATGTAGGTCTATTAGAGACTCTTATGATATGTTAAATCTACCGTCAGTTAGGAATGATTTCGAGATGAGAACTGACAAGAAACTCAGCTCGTATTCTTTTCAAATAAATGTTATACATACAGATTCATTTTTAAATTCATATTTAGGAGAATAGAGTGGCCATAGGCTAGAGCAGACATTTACAAGAAAGAAAGAAATAATCTTTATTAAAATAAACTCATTACAAGCACTTTTGAATAGTCATATTTTGATTCTACCACTCATTCGGAATGCAGATTCATCACAAGAAGAACGAGCAAGAAACTTGAGTGTTGCACTTTTAAATAAATATTGATTAATGAGACTCACATTATCAAGGCATGCGACAATCAACCAGCATATCTTATTAGAATAGAAAATCATTTATTCAAATAAACTTAATTTAAGCACTTTTGAATAGTCATAACATTTTTTTTTATCTACCGCTCGGTCTCATCACAAGATTGTATTGTGTAGTTATATTTGATCCTAATGCTGGTTGGTAGTTCGTATTCACATGTTTCGATTTGTAAAATGTGAACTTACAAGGATTGTTTAAAAGAGCAACACACAAGTTTCTTGCTCATTCTTCTTGTGATGAGTCTGTATTCCGAATGAGCGGTAGAATCAAAGAACTTGACTATTCAAAAGTGCTTATATTAAGTTTATTTTAATAAAGATTATTTCTATTTCAATCTTAGAATGTAATGGTATATTTTACATTGACTCATATAAACAAATTTAGGAGAATTACGCAAGGTTTATTTTTTATTGTACACACATATAGTAAATAAAATTTTATACAGTAAATGTAACAAGTGTCCAAAGGCGAGTTTATCTCTAAAAAGAGATTTCTTCGAGCAAACCTAGAAAATGTTATAGGATAGTGTATTAAATAGAATAGTCGTACATACGTGTACGAAAAGAGGAGATATTAAAATATTGTTCTAATTAACTATGAGTATCAAAAGACGTACATAAATATATGAATATATAGACATACATTTTTTTTTATTTTTTTTTTATTTTTTAAGTCACCAACAAGGTTTACACCAACACTATTACATTATATACATATAAATAAAATTGGAGTGTCTGTTTGTAATATTGAAATAATCGTTTTTTACTAAATGCATATGAATATAAATACGGTACATACACCAAAATAACATTTTTTACAATTTTTGTCTGTCTGTCGGTCGGTCTGTTTGTTCCGGCTAATCTCTGAAATGGCGGTTGCCGGTTTTGACGAGACTTTTATTGGCAGGTAGCTGATGTAATACGGAATAACTTAGGCTACTTTTATTGTAGAAAAATGAAGTTAAATTCCACGCGGACAAAGTCGCGGGTTGCAGCTAGTATATAATACATTACAATCTATTTATTATACTAAGCGCAATCTTAATTATAGACAACTACGACATTCATGTGACAAATTTGTGCTTACAATTAACAATTAACAAAACAACAACAAATTAAATGGTACATAAATAAATTTAATTTATTTTACTAACCATATAGTTTATTAAATCGAGGATATCGTTGTATTACGGTTCGTTATATTAAGGTTACACTATATAGTCTTGTCCACGTCTCTACTTGAATTGTAAGATGAAATCCTAATCTAGAAAGAATCTATTACGGCTTAATTAACCTCCGTGGGGGTGACATTTACTGAGAATATAGGGGAGGGGGTGTGGACGTGGAGCGCGAGACAAATGTTTAATTAAAACATCCCGTATACAATGTACCCACAATGATGTACTGGCTTATAAAGAACTCCAGCTGGGTTGGTCTAGCACAGTGTTTTTCAATCTTTTAGATTACGCGACCCTTTTACAGGTTTAAATATTGTGACGACCCCCTTGTGTTATAGAAAACTAAAGAAATAATTTAATTAAAAGCCTGCATACGTTAGTTAGGTAAAAATTTGTTTTTATTTTTGTACATTTATCTATTAGAATAGAATAGAATAGAAAATCATTTATTCAAATAAACTTATATTGAAGTACTTTTGAATAGTCATAACATTTTTTTTTAATCTACCGCTCATTCGGAATGCTGTCTCATCAAAAGAAGAACAAGCAAGAAACTTGTGTGTTGCTCTTTTAAATAATTTATTCTTACTTACAATTTAAGTTTAAGTGTGTGAATACAAACCACCGATTAGCACTAATTCAATGAAGTAATAAAATAGAAAAAACATTCAATACACAACAACTGGTTAAACAATTAATAAGAGAAAATAAGTCATAGTGATTAGAGCAGACCAGTCCACACAAGCAGCATATTATTCTCGCGGGCCACACTGCATCGGCGCCGGCGACATTACCACACCGGAATTAAAAAGAAGAAAGAACGAATTAGAAAATGATTTGATTATTAACGTTTCAAAAACATCACCAAAATTTGAAAAATATTTGAAGAATATACAAGCACAACCTTCCCACAAAAATTGTGTTGTTACCGTAATTGAACCTTGACTTTTTCTTTCAACCGACGACCCCCCGTGTAAGGCTTCGCGACCCCCCTAGCGGTCACGACCCGCAGATTGAAAAACACTGGACCAGCAGATTGTGTCGTAAATTTTAAGTTAGGTACCTACCACAGGCAACGTCACAGAACCTAGTCAAGTTGCGGCACTGTGTATAATTAACTAGGTTGTCATATATTTTTGAGATAACTCTCGTTGTATTGTGCAGTCTGTCAGTTTTTATTAATATCGTCCTTAGTTACCTATACACGACATTCTTTCACACGCGATCATGTTTTTATTTTAGGTAGCAAATAAGCATACGGCCCATCTGATGGTAAACGATTACCGTAACCTAAGCTTGAAACACCAGGGGTGTCACGTGAGCATTGCCGACCCTTAAGAAATCTTAATATTCTTGAAAAACCCCATGCTGTAGTCTCCTGAGAAAATATCAGCAGGTGTGCGCGCGATTTAGCACGGGGAAACCAGCTTATAGAATAGAATAGAATAGAATAGAAATAATCTTTATTCAAATAAACTCATTACAAGCGCTTTTGAATAGTCATATTTTGATTCTAGATTATCACATAAATAGATATTCAGATTCATCACAAGAAGAATGAGCAAGAAACTTGTGGATTTTAAGTCTTTCTATAAAAACAATATTGTCGTAAACAAATTCATCATTTTTTTGTTTTTATTCTTGAATGATTGTTTTATTTTTTTTATCTATTCTTGT